TCCTAACTCTAGCAAGATGCAACCTTAAGGTCAACCAAGGAAACTTACTAAGAAAATGCAATCAGCTAATGAGAACCACATCAATAAAGAAAGGTAGCGAGTCAACTATCTGCCCAACCAAAACGAGAGAATAGGGGAAGGAAAGTCTCACGCTTACACGAGCCAAGTCGAAGTGAAATATGAAAGAACATAGTAGAATTCAAAGATCACCTACGACAAAGATCTAAGATGATGCGGAAAGAAGGGAATAATTGGAAATCATATCAAATAGCTAAGTCATAATCAAAGGGAATAGAGTTAAGGCGAACACAAAAGTCCACAAGAAACACTTCACTACCGCCGGGCGCATCTACCGAGATGATAAGAAGAGGAAGGGGTGGTGAGGAATGCCTCCCAGGGACTCTGTCGGGCTCTCTCAACCAGAAAAGGGAACTCTACACTCTAATACCGTCGGGCGCATATGCCGCGGCGATAAGAAGAGGAAAGAACACCACTCTAATATCGTCGGGCGCATATGCCGCGGCGATCAGAACAGAAAAAGTACAACACTCTAATACCGCCGGGCGCATATGCCGCGACGATAAAAAGAGGAAGGGGTGGTGAGGAATGCCTCCCAGGGACTCTGTCGGACTCTCTTAACCAGAAAAGGGAACTCTACACTCTAATACCGTCGGGCGCATATGCCGCGGCGATAAGAAGAGGAAAGAACACCACTCTAATATTGTCGGGCGCATATGCCGCGGCGATCAGAAGAGGAAAAGTATACTCTACTATCGTCGGGCGCATATGCCGCGGCGATCGGAAGAGGAGAAGTACACTCTAATATCGTCGGGCGCATATGCCGCGGCGATAAAAAGAGGAAAGGGTGGTGATGAATGCCTCCCAGGGACTCTGTCGGGCTCTCTCAACCAAAAAAGTGAACTCTACACTCTAATACCGTCGGGCGCATATGCCGCGGCGATAAGAAGAGGAAAGAACACCACTCTAATATCGTCGGGCGCATATGCCACGTCGATCAGAACAGGAAAAGTACAACACTCTAATACTGCCGGGCGCATATGCCGCGACGATAAAAAGAGGAAGGGGGTGGTGAGGAATGCCTCCCAGGGACTCTGTCGGGCTCTCTCAACCAGAAAAGAGAACTCTACACTCTAATACCACCGGGCGCATATGCCGCGGCGATAAAAAGAGGAAAGAGCAACACTCTAATATCGTCGGGCGCATATGCTGCGACGATAAAAAGAGGAAAGTACACTCTAATACCGCCGGGCGCATATGCCGCGACGATAAGAAGAGGAAA